GTGTACAACAAACTGCTTGAAATTTTCAGCAGCATAGTGTATCAAGTTTTTACAAAGAATTTTGCTGGTGAAGTGTATTTTTTGTCAATTTACACTAGTTGGTAAAATTCCTCCTTTTGAACGTTTATATCAGTGTCATACCAACAAAAAAGCTGAGGGTCAAGTAACTTATCCTAAGACGCCCCACTTCATGGGGCGCATTAGGGGAAAAGGTTTGATTCTGTCAAACGAATAACCAGTCGGCCAGATTTAAATGTGCATATTTTATCAAACAAATACCTCCTTAATTTGCAGACGGGTTGAAAAAATGTTGCTAGGTTAGTCTTAAATCATTTTAAAGCTGGTTGAGGCTTATGCTCAGGTCTTACGTTATTTGGAAGAGCAGTTTTGTTGTGCTAGACCGTTTTTTTCAAGGTTTATGTGCAAATTCGTCAGGCGCGACAAAATCTTGGGAAGGAAACCAAGTTTTACCCCACAAAGTCTTGATTCTTCATCCCGAGAATATATGAGCTCATTTAGAGGAAAAATTCAAAATTGATCAGTTGCTGTCTTTTTACAGATGTCATTTACCGATCCCAGGAATCTGTTTAATCGATCACCGAGAAGCTACAACTGGAGGATGGTTTAATTTTGGACAGCTCGCTTTTGATGCTTTTAGGGTGCCGTGTCTAGTTTTCTAGATTTTCTGGCGCGAAAAAAACGGAAATGCTTGACGCCGGAAGCACCAAATTTGAGTTTCTGGTCAAGATACGCTGTGCGTTAGACTGACGTCAGTCAACTGTAACCCAGGCAGGACTCCACCTGCACAGCCTGTGCTGCGCGAATAATAAAAAGTTGTACTGTTCACTTGCTGATTTCTCGTGCCTGGATTGTGATCCCAAATGGGACCTTTCTAATGACACAACCTTATCCCTTTTTATGCGAAAGTCGCCCGCGGCATGATGGGTCTATTTGTCCTCCTGCATTAAAGGTTACCGTCTTTCACATGCCAGTGACATCTCTTCAAGAAAACTCTTTTGTCCCGGAGCAGTAGCTAATCATTGCTTCTACACAACCATGAATGGTGTGTTGTATTTTATTACTATACGCATATGTGTGGTACTAGTTGCATCCAAAGCTTTGATTATTACGCCAAAAGTTCATCCTAATATGCATATAAAGCTCTTGTTATCTTGTCTGCTGTAAAAATGAATTCAAGTATGTTGGCGTCTTACAGCATATGCTACCACGGAGGGCCATTAAGGCTCTTTGTACCTATCAGACGACATCTGTTTATGGTGTATCTTAACAAGGTGTATCTTAAAAAGGATACTTCGTTAAAGGTCGAAAAACATGAATTAGTGGCGATGATAAAAACCAGACATCAGGCAAAACGGTAGAGTATCAAGAAAACTTGGGCGCTATGTAATGCAATATACAGCGAATGGCCCGATAGAGTACACAACGTCTCAGGGTGAGTAATAAACCGTTTTTATGGGTACGTTAATGGGTTAAAATACTGAAAATAGTGTAAAGACAATTGTTTGCAGGCGAAATAGACTAATGGAAAGTGCAATTCGGTTGCTGATTTCAGAGCTGTTTGATTTTGTTAAAAGACCTCCCTGCGCATTTGATCTTTTGCTGAATTCGCTTTTAAGAAGCTCAGGTAAACAAACCAATCTCTCCTAAGGTAATGATGTTTTCAAGAGAAGTATGGACGAGTCTCACGTATGGGACCAAGTTAGTCAATAACTGTTATATCTGCTGATTCGTCAATCTGTGGTATCTGCTGCTGACCCGCTCCAACGCCTGGTTGCCGAGAAAAGAGGCTCACAGAAGGGAGCACAACTGCTATATTCCGAAAAAGCTAATGCGAGAGTGTGACTGCGTACTAGAGAGAGAGGCTCACGAAGGGAGCAAAAACACTATATTCCGAAAAAGCTAATGCGAGAGTGTGACTGCGTACTAGAGAGAGAATACAACGGTCTCAAGCTATTTATTGCAAGGACACTGTCTGAATTTGGTCCAATGCTGACGCACACGGTCTGGCTTTGGTACGAAGCTGTGACGTGCTGCATACTACGAGGGCGCTGTCTGACCTTGATCAACGCTGACTCGCACTGTCTGGGTTTGGTACAAGGCTGTGACGCGCTGCATGTTGAGGGGGTCTTAGCTGTCTGGTCAACATCTAGCGAAGCTGAGAGTCCCGGTAGATTTCGGGCATTCACTGGTTGCTTTCAGGAAGCTGACCTTCCTGATAGTAACCATTTGAAAATTCAAAGAATCTTGCTGAGAGGAAAGGAGTACTAAGTAGGGCCGCGATAGACATTCCATAACAGCGCCTGGCAAAAAGTGGAACTGATTGTAGTACTGTGAACTTTTATGTCACAGATGAGCGTCCGAGAGAAACTGTAAAATACCCGCTTTCCAGTAATTTACCAGTGAGCGTATCCCAATGAAATATTTTGCTAAATATTTGCATGTTTATGTTTAGTTTGCTAAAATAGAAACTTGTCTCCGCAGAAAAATTTGACGTTAAAAGTATCTTAGTCACCAATGAGTTACTCTTCACTATTTCAGCTTTCCTGCGGCAGTGCTTCATATCCAAGAGATGAAACAGACCATAGATCTCATGTTTATAACTTTATACACGCACGTCTCCTAAAGCATCTAAAAACACACAGGCGTCTTTTCCAAGTGCTAGAGAAACAGTTTTAAGGAAGGCTTGTTCACAAGTCACTGGGCGGCTTTGCAGCTCGGTAATCCCTTGTCTGAAAAGACATAAATAAGGATTCTTTGAACTAAACGGCAGCAAGTAGCCGAGTATTCCGCTTTCTTTAAATACATCTGCCTCACTTCATCACGAGAAATTGACCCAAAGTATATCTGTTCTCATTTGGATTATTCACTACACATTTAATCGCGTGTCACTAGTGTCAACTACAGAAAACCCCGCAGTCTGTTCGCTGAAAACCTCAATCGGTTTGTATGCATTCAGAGCTTAAGAAAAAGGTACCACACACTTGTAGCGTCCAAAAGAATAAATACACTAATGGAGGTCGGTCTAAAATCCTCTGGTAAGGAAAGGCATTGCATGATCTGTTTCACATAAAAATGTCAACTTTTCTTAGAAGACCTGTTATTAACTCAATTTTCATCTAAATATACCATAGCTTCATGTTCTTACTCGCTATTTCTAATATGTACGCTTATGTTAACCGGTGACGTACAACGGCGCGACTAAAAGTATCCCATAAAAATAACAGCGTGCGTCTCTAGCATTTCTTTTCATTTCACATAGTGAGTGAGTAAGATGGCTTTCAATTCAAGGTGTCCGAGTTGCTTCTGGGGCATAATTAAAATCGATTTTGGGTGATTCTACCCCTTTTTTACGCTAGCACTTTCTTTCTTTGACATGGGTCTTACAACGTTAAACTACACCCTTCCTCCCACTGACACCCACTCCAATCTTTGTCATTACTGCCTATAGCAAATTTTAGACAGCCATTTTAGAGTTACAACGGGGTTGTAGTTCTTTCATGCCTAAAATAGTCCTTCTATCTGGCTTACTTTTCATAGGAAAACAGGTGTTACAGCTCCTGGTCTAACAATGTTGACCTGCATTTTCACAGAACGTTTGCACAAATTATGGTTGATTATTTACGCATCCCATCTTTCAGTTTTGCGATAGGCTACTATGTCCCTTCAGGCTGCTCTTTCTTAACCTGGTAAATGCCATGAACCGCAGCTCAAAAGGGAAAAGACGCTCTGTGCACGGGAGCGCCATGGGCCCAGGCAGAGTTAGACGCGTCTCTGAGTGGATTCTAGAACTTGTGTGCAAACAGCAAACTTCACGTGGGAATTACAGACTTGACACCTTGCTGACAATATAGCGACAAGTAGTTTAATCATACCCTTGTTCAAAGTACCGAGTGTATGACTTGGACTCTTGAGCAGCTGCAGCGATTTACCGACATGGTATAGCGTTTCATCTGTATCTTTTTGCTGTCTGACTATTGTAGGGTGTGGTCTCAAATACTACGCCAGTTTCAGAACTGAAGTAACTAATTCAGCCGTGTTTTCAAGACTGCCGGGATGTGAAAAGATGCGGTATTCAGAGGTAGGAAGATCCTGACCCCCAAAAACTGACAGGGTGAAATTTTTGACGGTAGCCAAAGGACAAATTTTGTATCGTGTCAGCCTGGGTTGATTGGGCTGGCAAGTGTCAGAATTTAGTGGCACACTTGGTTAGGGTCTTGCACAACTTGGAAAATAGGCACGCAAGTATCTGACTGACAGCTCCATGTAGAGTTTGTTGCGGCAGTCTTTCTTCACGAGTAAACCATGGCTTTGAGGCGTGAACGGTATATTCAACGTGAGGTCTGTTGCACATTAAAATTACGCTCCTGATTGGGGCTAATTCAAATGGCCCGGGGGCTTAAAGTGACAGAACGAAGAGTTTGTTGGAATCGTTAGCCTCGTTAGAGTACTAAACGGCGTTTAATAAATGGTGCTGACTGTCGACTGCGGAATTGCCATCCCCAGTAATGGTTAGGAGTTTGTGTGTAAATAAGGTTTATGAGCGAAGTGTAAAATGGCGTGGTGAAAACACATGACACTTCTCAGCGAATGACAAGTAGTCCGTCTGTGATCAATTTTGAACCATTATTGAGCTCTCTACAACGAAAAATAGGTCTCCATTTTATATTCAGAGGTGGTGTATGTGGAGAGGTCACTGAAATGAAACGGGGGAACAAGAACTGATATTCACCGCCGTTGATGGGAAGAAATTTTCCAGCGGATTATCTGTATGGAGTGTGCCTATAAAGATGTGATTGTATAGTAATGCAGATGCTGGAATCATGCACTTCCGTTCATTACTTTATGCCAACAATGAAAAATGGCAAATCTCCCCAAAGTACTCTTTGAGCACCTGTCTATGAGGGTCACTAAGTCCAATTACCTCTGTATATGGAGATATGGAATGACGCACGAAATTTTAAAGCAGTTGTATAACTTACCTGGATTGCCGTGCGCCAGAAAATCCAACCACTCCGGGATCTGTAATGAGGGTGGCACTGAATTCAAGGGATATAATCCCAATAACCTTTTCTAAATCGGAGCTGTGAAGCGGCGAAAACGCAGACGTTGTTGTTCAGTATGGATTGGTATGTGACCTGGAACTCGATCGTGGAATCCCAATTTCATTTCATGGGCAGCTTTAAATTGGTGCTATTTACAAAATCCCTTCAATTTAGTAAGGTAAAACAACATGGAATTCAGTTTTTGCCAATATTTCTTTCTCATCTAATTCAATTGAGTTATTGGGCTAAATTGGAATTTCAGAACCAACAAGTAGCAAAAACTAGTCTGAGGATAGGCGACTGTTTTAGGAAGCCGAAAGTGATGGTTGCTGTGCACGACAAAGATAAAACTTACACAAAGCCTAAATAAAACTTAGATACATGTAAAACATATAGGTGCACGCTTTAGAACCAATCACACTCAAAGAGGCCCTTTAATGGCCTCCCCACTGTTCACTAACGTGCAAGTTAAGAAGCTATTCCAAGTTTCACCATACGTTTTTGAACCCAGGGGAAAACGTAAAGAAATGCCTCTCACTATTCGCGAAGCGGGATTGACTTCTTGAAATCCACGGCATTTTCACGCTTTCCACTTCATGTCTATTTATCACGTATATGTTCCTGTTTTATTGAAAATCACTTACTATGGCAATTTGTTCAAGTGAGCGAATGCTCAAGGTCAATAAACACCACCGGCTGTGAATGCGTCGCCTATAACACAGTTGAAACTTGACTGTATCTGCTTGCCCGTCTACCATATGACCTTATGTGCCCCTCCCTCTTTCCCCTCCCCTATTGCAGGTACCACGGACGAGCCACCACGAGCCCCGGGCAGGAAAGAGGGGCCCGCTTGTACACCTCCCCACGATTAAACTTGACCTGATGTTTTACTCCCGACTTCCGGTCTCGGTTTCGGTTTAATACACGTATGTTGTTGCCACGCTCCGGTGTTCCTTCTTGTGTCACCCGACCTGTGGGAATGTGTGCTTTGTGAAACGTGTGGACTCCGTAATACCAACCTCTATATCTACACATTTCAGAACCGACGTGTGCCGTCGCTACGTTCTCCCGAACGTCGAATACCGCTGACTTCTTGACGGCCCCCGCTACATGCCTGATGATAAAAAATCGCGAATTTTCGGAAAACGTTGACTCACCTACGACAAACGAAACTTTCATGTAGTTTTCTACCGGAAAATATCCCCTGAGCATTCTAGAATCTAAATAGCCTTTGGAGATGCAAAATATGCGTAGGTGCATCCGTGCAAACAAATTTTATTCGATGATCGCGGTTACCGGTTAAAATTCCCCAGACCATGTTAATTATTTGCTAATTGTCGTGCACGTTTGCTGGCAGAAAGCAGAGTTTTCTATTATAGGTTGCGAATTATTCTAGGAAGACCTCGAGGTTTATCGATTAGGAACACGGAACATACGTCGATCATACCGGACAGCTGAACGAAACTAACTGACCCACACGACCAAAACGCGTCTAAGGGTACACGATGTCGGAGCGCACCCATCCCTCTGCACCGGAGCAAAGGCTCAAAATGGACGTCATGAAACGTTGCGATATATTGCTCCTTTTGGAGAGTACATATGTACTTCTGGGAGGCGCATTTTCCTCTTCATGAGGAGTGTTGATTTGGCCATGGGCGTCCTGAACTGAGAGGAAGATATAATTTAGGTTATCGAAATGTCATTACAAGGCGGGCGGCCGACGAACTAACCTACCCCAAAGTGCACTACAGCGACTATGTTGTCTTAGATGCCTGCTCACACAACACCATCGTCAGCTGTTATTTCGCATGTCTGTTTCCTGCACCTCTCAAGAAATACGAGTCTTATATGAAATGCATGGGGTCTCACTAACGTGCCGACCGTCCGGAGCTGATGGGTCACATGAAATCACCTTCGTCTCTTTCATCTGGCTGGCGCTGTGCAGCGTTAGTCGTAGTTGGCAGACATTTACTAACGGCTGTCGAGTAGTTCCCCTCTGGACCCGAAAACACGGACACACAGGCTTCTGGGACACACTGTGCTGGGACTCTGTGCTCCGATCCAGGTCAACATCATGAGATGCCCTCTTTGTGGATCGGGTAGCGAGCGCACTGAGTTTTCTGGATGGGCCCGGAGCTAGAAACCAAAAGTAATTTATTTTCATGTGGCCTCACTTTTGGGACAAGCCTGAAGAGCACCGCCACATACCGGGCAAGTTTCACCATCACAAGAGTCGTCGTAATATAATACGCGATCCGTTGCACGCCAGCGGTCGCAGTGGTCACCAGTCAGTCACAGAGCACCCAAAAGCTCAACTCAGCGTTCCTAGACCGCCATCCTGGTAGAGATGCAGTATCCTCGACCACCAACGGCAGGTCGTCAGTTGCATAGTTTGAGTCTTCACGCAGCAGGATTTGTCCCTGAACAGTCAATCGCTTGAAGATGACTGTGGCCCTTCTGGGTTCCAGCCTTTGAAGCTTATCCATCACTCGGTTCAGTTGTTAACGAAGGCCGTCGAAAGCTGTCGGCGGTGGTTTGGAACATTTGTAAGGGGTGCATCTTTTTCCCGGTAGGTTGTAATCCGACAGCCAACGTTGGTGGATTGGGAGGCCCGCTAAGAAAAAAATCAATAATGAATAGTTCTTACTGCTCGAACGGACTGATCTCGAAATACAGAGAACAGGCGTATGCAGGGGAGCCACGTAGCCCGGTAGAAAGGGCATGTGCATTCTCCAGCACAGGTGTCGGCAGCCTGGGAGCATCTGGGCATTTGAACCGCGGACTATAAGTTAGTTTACATAGCTCGACCTCAGCTGGTTTGTTCCAACAATTTCATACGGCGGTCGTGGACCCAAAGGTCTCAGAACGGGAGAGCACGCATATGTCGTCATTCGACGCACAATCTGGGAGCATCCGGGAGTTTGAACCACAAACTATAAGTCAGTTTACGTAGCTCGACCTCACTTTGTGCGCTCCAACACTCTCATACGGCAGCCGCGGCGGACCCAAGTGCTTCAGAATGAGAGTGCATGCATACGTCGTCATTGGAGAGACCACGTTTAGAACGTAGGCGACACTCTCCCGGATTTGCCGCCTGTCGCTGTGGCACGAAGTATGCATCTCGAACTCCCGCATGAGCCTCTCGGCTCGCCGCGACACCTTCTGAGTTGCCTGCTCCAATGTGTTGGAATGGTGCACCCGGTTTTTAAGGCAGCCGTTTGCATTCTCCAATCGGTTGTTGGTCGCATCACCGAAATGAACCATTCCGGTCTGTGCATGTATGGCCCGTTTTCAGGTGATGTGCGACCAGCAACCATAGAAACAAATCGAGGATCGGTGCGACGCGGAAGCTGCAGGTCTTGCCGTAATCTGCGTGCTTGTAATACGATGAAAAACCAACTGTACAGCGTTGTCCAGGGAAGCCGTGCGGTGAAATATGTGCCGGCTATTCGCAGAATGTGTCTATAACCAAAAATACATGGATATTAAATGATACATACGTGCATATGGATGGTTTTGCGGACATGAAATTAACAACGGATAAAGTCGCAGCCGAACACGATTCTTGCTGCACGCATTTGCGCCGCCAACTTGTCCATAACAAAGATCTTAACGGGATAAGTTTCGCCCATCATTTCTTCGAGTTAGCCGAACAGTTAGCGCATGGGAGCAACCTGCTCTCCCTCTACGAATGCATGCATAACCGGACGCAACCGGACGCCCGGTTACCATGTCGTCCGTCATCAAGGTGTACAGTTTACATCTACATGCTGAATATTAGATTTTTTAAAAACTCACCGAAAGCGGCTTGTTGCATGTATTCGGTCTACATTCTATGTATCTGGAAAGCGTCGCTATCTGCTGCCATCGGGAGAAGCACATTTGGCTATAGTGACCTTCCTCTGGCTGGCACACAAGTACGCGTCCGGTCCCCCGAAGTTCCCCAGGACCGGAGGCATATCATCTGTCACATTGAAACCCAAATATGCGGCACCTACTCAACATAGTCGGTCGACACTTCCGGCGGTGGTTATATATATCTTTAGTGTTAAGAATCTTGCCGAATTCCTCCGCCACAAACTGCCGCAACTCACATGAAAGCGTTCCGTATTTCAGAAGGGCCTTGCAGGTTCCCAGCTCGTCTTCAGTCAGCCGGCGATTACCTGGAAGCCGGTCGTACAGAAACTGTGACAGCTCGTGGTTGTGTTCAAGAAAATATGAGCTGGCTGTCAGTTGGTTTCTTTGCCTCCGGAGGCAAAACTGCACTGGACGGCTGGTGCTTTGCGTACTTTTTTTATTAGAAAATACGCTAGGCTTACATGATTCTTCGGATTCTCCGGCTTTCCGTTAGATTTGGAGGGCGCCCGCTGCACTCGTAACGCAAAAGAACGTTGGTGCTTCGATTACTGGATGAACGCACAAATACCAAAACGTGATCCTTCGTGCATTGATTTAAGGCCTTCTCAAATTCCGTAAAGGATGGAAACGATACACCCACAAATTTCTGAACGAGCGATTGTGAAGCCATTTCCGAAGCCATACCATACGAAGTTCAAAGCCAAAATTGCGCCAATAATTTTCAAAGGAGTTCGATTAAAACAGATCGCAAAAGTGGCAGCAGATGAAATTGATTTTTGGGCTGAGCACATACGAAATGAGGTGACATTTTTACGTCAAAGCTTTTATATCACCCACAGGGGTTTTGCAGAAAAATACATTGTGCGTCGAAGGCGCGGCGATTAAACCTCACCCTGAGAACATAAATGGCATTGCCAGACCCTTTTCGCCTGCTTTTTCCGGTGAAAAGATGCCGCTGAACAAAAAGAACAAACCTGACCCTGGTTGCTTGTGCGGCAGACTCGATCCAGCTTCCGCGCGGTACGTTCGAAATCGGTTTCGTTTTTCCCTCATGCAAATTCGTGGAAATTTTTTTCGTTGTTCATTCTGTTCACAGAGTGCATACGAGTAATTGTTGAATTTTATTAATCTA